TGGGGGTGGAGGTGGGGGGCAAGGGACGCAAGGACTGCCACTATAATATATAGCTATATAGATATAGGTCAATGATAAAAAAAATATACTGTACCTTAAATATATTGAATCTGAAGTGTAATTCATTTGACTGGTTGTGGTAGGACTTCTTGTATTGATCGACATACTTCAAAAACTCATCAAATATGTCTATTCCAAGAGAAAATCGAAATAACAGAAATATTGTGAAAGCGAAAATAGGATTCCACATGACTGCCGTAATTTTGGAACATCTCTGGACTCACTATTGATTTACACAGTGTGTAGATACAATTTCTTACCCAATATCTAAGTTCCGGATGTGACGTTATATGTTTCTGTGCTATAACGATGCTATACAAATCTGGTGTGTGTTGCCACTCAGGGGTTATATTATATATCAGAGAATTATATAAACACCTCTCCGTATCAAATTTATGAACAAAAATTGAATGAAAACTAGTAATTCATAGGGTGGCACGAATCACCCAAAAAGAATGTACATATAATGATATATGTTTATCTAATTTGTATGTACATTGTAGTCCTCCAATTCGAAATTACGAGAGTATGTTAGAATATACATGTATGTGTTAACTATGGAACGCCAAATTAACATATGTTCAAATAATTGCACATATCTTCAAATAATTGAAGATAATAGGTACATTTCAATTGAAGATACAATGTAAGTGGAATTCAATTGAAGATACATATGTATAGGTACAATTCAATTGAAGATAGGCACAATTCAATTAAAGAATTCAATTAAAGATAGGTTCGATTCAATTAAAGATAGTTTCAAATACGACGAATTAAACATATCTTCAATTGTTTAACTCCCTTAATTGCACCACGGTGTTGTATTGCGATCTATGACCGTGGTTAAACACATTCACAGTAAGGTTATTTTATAAAAATAATTCATTTTGATGATAATCTTTTTACAACATACATAAATAGATTACAAATACAACGACGAAAATAAGTAAGATTGTCAAAACATGTGAAATTATATTTGCAATACACAATACTAAAAGTGTGTGGTTTTGTTGTTGTTTGAGAAGGGGGTTTCTTTTTTGGGTACATCGTGCAACCGTAATTCATATATATATAATTGCAACCGTAATTCACCACTGTAACCCGTTACCATATCACCACACTGCCACTATCAACCGTTACCCACACTGCCACTATCAACCGTTACCCACACTGCCACTGTCACCCGTTACCATACATATCATCCACTCTGCCACTGCCACCCGTTACCATATCACCTACACAGCCACTGTCACCCGTTTCTTCAGGTTGGTAAGTGTCACTGCCACCCGTTACCATATCACCCACACTGCCACCCGTTTCCCACACTGCCACTGTCACCCGTTACCATAGCACCCGCACTGTCACTGCCTCCCGTTACCATATCACCCACACTGCCACTGTCACCCGTTACCATATCACCCACATTGCCACTGTCACCCGTTACCCACACTGTCACCCGTTACCATATCACCCACACTGCCACCCGTTTCCCACACTGCCACTGTCACCCGTTACCATGCATATCACCCACACAGCCACTGTCACCCGTTACCATATCACCCACGTGCATACTGTCACCCATTACCCACACTGCCCCTGTCACCCGTTACCATGCATATCACCCACACTGCCACTGTCACCCGTTACCCACACTGCCACTGTAACCCATTACCAAGGCGCTGTAAAACATATTTAAGGTTGACGCCTCAATAGATTGGTTTATTGAATTTAGCGTCGCCTGACGTGTCGCTGGCTTGTAAGGACGTGTCGGGAAATTTATATATAGATTTACACACAAAAACCTGATAACAGGATTGTAAGGTGTTTGGCTGACGTTTTAACTTCATGAATATGGAAAAAAGGGACTCTATGACTGCGAAAAAACTTTGAGATCATGTCCGCGGAAAGAGAATACATTTACGTGTATATAGGAGGTTTCTAAAAGAAAAAAATATCCATCTTATTACGGTTACTAAGCTTATTTTTGTATATCAACTAGAGATGCGTTTTTTATGCAAGAAAGTTAGGTGGGTCGATTTTTCGACATCGAGAGCTTCCCTCACTTCTCGTATATATCACCATTAGGGGTAGCATCTTTACCGAAAATTGATCTAAGTATAAACGCCTAAAACGTATAAAACTGCTCTGACCACGCATGCACCTCAGTTTAGTCCAAATTTGGCTGTAACAAACTCTCAGGCCCCTGTGGTTGGTTGGGGACGGTACCTAGGGACTGTGTGAGTGGGGTGGACCTGGGAGTTGTGTTGGATAATTATAACCACATACATGTAAGACTTGTCAATTCAATTCAATTTTATTTCCGTAAGATTTACATACATTGCAAAAGCAACAATTACATACAACTGGTACATGATACATTACATACCATCGATCATCATCCATTCATCTCTTTTATAGCAGGGATTTACCTACATGGGCCATCACGGCATTATGGCAAGAGAATGAATGGCACGTTGGAGATAATATAATTGGTACAAAAATAGTTCATCCTCGAGGATGAATATAGTTATACTTTGCAACTCCTCCCTTTAATTGGTACCACCATATTTAGCTATATTTACCCACGTGAGCCAGGCAACAGGTTTTGTTCCCAAACAGGAACATGTCAAAGTGAAGTTGTGTTCCCCTGCTAAATATGCAGCATCTTAATATTAAAATTACAATCCTGAATATTTAACATGAGCATATCTTGATAGATTTCTATTACTTGTATATTGAACTTTATAAAAACACTCTTATACCACGGACTTAGATAGCGTTCTTGTGGTTTCTCGCGACATCAAGGTGCACAAGACATATTTCCTATGCCGGAGAGGCAGTTGTCTATATAAGTCCGTGTCTATACTGATCAGGCTATTTAAGTCCGTGTCTATACTGATCAGGCTATTTAAGTCCGTGTCTATACTGATCAGGCTATATAAGTCCGTGTCTATACTGATCAGGCTATTTAAGTCCGTGTCTATACTGATCAGGCTATTTAAGTCCGTGTACTGATCAACATCTCTGGTCAAAAGATTGTGGCTTAGATATATAAGAATGATTCTGGATTGAAAAGAAGAAGGGCATTTACGTCCTAATGTAAAGAAAAACCACAAGACTTTATTCGGCGACATTTTTTAAATGCTATATAACTGTAAAATCTCTTACGGAACTAATTATACGGGGTCATGCTTCCCCTAACACAAAATCTAGATCGGGGTTCGGAAGTACCTCTACTTCCTCTTTAAGCCTTTCAATATGGCGGCCACGCAAGGTAGCAAGAAAAGGAAGGTTAGAAACTGTTTTTACACCATCAAATGGTGCTCAAATAAAGCTTAAACGACATTACCTCAATGAATGATAATATATCTATCCGTTTAAGTTCATTGCATGACCTGATGTCCCAATTTAAAGCAGATTGAGGCCGATTGTGGAGGGCATGTCATGTTGATATCTACACATTCATTTGATGTTCAGAGGAAACGTGATGATATTATTGCAGATTATACCATAGTAGATCATTTATACGATTTGTGTTGACAGTGTGAGTAAACTCCGGTTCGAGTTAAATTCATTTGTCATACATTTTGTATTCCAAAAGACGCAAGCTGTCAAATGTTGTTTATTTTGTTACTAACTTATTTCTTCTCCTTGAAATTTTCAATTAACAATTCATGATATGATGAGTGAAACTCCATTTATTCATTGTTATTTGTCATAAAGTCGCAGATTTGGAACTCAATCGTCATTTAAGGTTATGTTTGTATATTGTGCAAGATGGAAGGAACTTAATGTTGAAATTATCTGTAAAATCTTCTCTCATATTGAGCATTATAATGGCAAATTTAACCCTTTCATTTGTTCCTTTAGTTCGTAGCTGATGGTGTGTTCAAGGCAGAGTTGAACAACTTCCTTACACGAGAACTTGCTGAAGATGGTTACAGTGGGGTAGAAGTACGAGTCACACCAACTCGTACAGAAATTATCATCCTGGCTACAAGAACCCAGAATGTCCTCGGAGAGAAGGGACGCAGAATCAGGGAACTTACCTCTGTTGTACAGAAACGATTCAGCTTCCCGGAAGGAACAGTTGAAGTATGTTCATTGGGCATTTTCAGGTTTATTGACTCGCAGAAATTTGATGTTGGATTGAGAGAATTCAGAGAGGAGAATTAAATTTGTTTACAAACTTGATAAATAAGGTATTACACTTCATGAGAATAAATGCCTTTCAGATGGACACCATCTGGTTTGTTGCAAAGTGTTAAAAAAACCTCATAAATCTGGACAGGTGTGCTGTGTAATTATAACTGACCTTGGGTGATGAAATTGTCAGTGATTAATGTAAATGTAATCAATTTGCTTCACCTCCCCTGATCCCGCTAAATCTGGTAATATTGATTGCCTGCGATTGGCTCAATCCAAGGTCCTCAAGAGAAAGTTTTGGAGAAAGCGACTGCCAAAAGAGCATTTAGTAAGAAGAGTATCAACACATGAAAATTTAGTAATTAAAAGTAAAATATTTTTTTCTCTCTTCATTCATATGTTCAAACCCGACCAGAAATGCATGTAAATAATAACACTCACGAAGGCTGTTTTGAATACTTGGTTTTAAGAATTAAAGTTTTGAATACTTGGTTTTAAGACTTAAAATTTCTTCCGACTCTTATGATCTGTATAATTTTTGCAGCTGTATGCAGAGAAGGTTGCCCAGAGAGGTCTGTGTGCCATCGCTCAGTGTGAGTCTCTGAGATACAAACTCATCGGTGGACTCGCTGTCAGGAGGTAAGTGTAATGTTGTACAGAGGAGGTTCTCTGATCGATTTTAGACCACATAATTAACTGTAAACACTAGTTTTCTCAAAACAATTTTGAGTTCTATACGATATATGATCAAACATATCAATAAAGATTGCCGAAAGGAGAAAGTGGGGGTTGTTTATGAAAAGTGGTCTTTATGTTTTTGATTACATTAAGATAAGCACATGGATGATTATTGAAATGACAGGTTTTACTTAGTGTTTTATAGACAAAGTGATGCATGTATATTGGGTACATACTCTTGATTGCATCAACAGCGACTTTAACGAAAGCATAATAAAAAATCACCTATTTCAATTCATATTGTGATACTTATTATGGTTATAATCTGTTAAATGGTTTTCTTATTAGTTCGATTGATTGCTGATTATAATAACTAATAAACAGGGTCAATTGTTTTG